ACATCAGACTCACCGTCCAGAAAGATGGCCTTGAGGAAAAATGACATTTTCAAATTTCGTGTGTATAAATGGAACCTTTTCTCTACAAAACATATGCTGTTTGTCCAGGTGAAGAACTAAATCAGACTGAGAGATGTAGCCTTGGGTAATGATTTAGCTCTTGAGTGTTTCACTCCAACTCGACTCAAGTGCTCAGTTGGAATCAGCCACATGATCATGTTTTACCAACTGAGAACTTATTTAGGTTAGTTATGTTCATGAGTTACTAATTAAACAGTAAATCTTAACTGTAGAAACTGTGTTTTTGTGGAATGAATCAGATTTATTAAAGATTTTTTTTTAAAGTAATCTGTTTACATTTCATACCTTTTTCATTCTTGGGTTTATTCTGAATCAACCATTAACAAATTGTGGATCAGTGTAATTGCACGCTGCATTTGGGCCATATGTCGTCTCTAAGAGGATTAGCTATCCACCAGGCTTCTCAAGAACCTACAGACATCCTTGTAGTCTGTTTATAAACAGTTTAGTTTACACCATTGCTGTTATGTACAATTAATGGAAAAAAATTGTGTGTGTTTGTGCTATTTAGGTCTTTTACACAGAAATGAAGAATGGTCGCCCAGTTGCCACCACCTCCATCATGGAGGTGCCACTCAGTTTGGACATGCTAACCACTGTGAGTATCCAGCCAGGATCAGCGGTTTAGAGAATGACACAAATACATGGTTTTGTCAGGTAATTTGGTGGTTTAAGAACGTACTGACAATTATGTTAAAGGTGTTTAAACAGAATCTGCAAAACAAGCTGTTAAACTCAAACTATCACAGTCACAGCTCAGCTCTTTGGGTCCCCCTTGAGTAGGGTTGGGCATCGTTTGATTTTGAACGATTCCGATTCCAATTCCTCATTTCGATTCCGGTTCCTATAGATTCCCGATTCCGATTCTTTCAAGATATGACATGTTTTAAGTGAGCCAGCTAACCACAGGTCCTACTTGATGAAATAATCTTAACTTCATAATGAATTTTAATTCTATGAACAACAACATCACCTTCATTTAGACAAAAACATGTTTTGGAGAAAAAAGAAAAAGACTTGCAGCCCAACCAGTGTGTTTGTTTCTGACCACAACCAAAGTCTGGAAGAAGCCTCTGGGATGAGAGGCTAAATGTCTCCAACATAACGTCCAGCTGTTTTCCTACCTGCAGCAGCCGTTCAGTCAGAACAAAAAGTGAAACTTAAATGTAGCTGCTGTCTGTAACAATCTAACAGATTTTAAACATTAAAACTTCCAACAGAAATAGTTCAAAAAGTAAATAAAAAATGTTATTATTATTATTATTATTATTATTATTATTATAATTCTTTACTGTGGTCCACCACAGAAAAGCTTCTCTAGCATGATGACTTTAATTATTCTACAGGTTAATGTTCAGCCTTCTGACGCTCAAGCGGCTGCGTCTGACTGCTGACACTCTGTGTGTGTTTTTATTTCTGCAGTGAGACAAACTCACCTCACACCATCCAGAATTTGTTCTTTAAAGCTTCTATTAAATCCACCGTGTTGACGTATTTAACAAGTTTCCTCTACGCTGCATTTTTTTTTGCTGCAGAATTTAAAGTTTACATTCCTGAGAAAGATCTGCAATGGTGGTGCATTTCCATGTTGATTGTATTGCAATTAGGTTTTCACAACAGCTGGAGTTCATACAAATTACCGTCGTAGAAATGGAGGTAGCAAACATTGTGGGACAAAATGTTTGTGCGATTCTGATAACTTATGGCCACAAATATGACAACGTTTAGATATTGAGTATATTTCTTTGTTGCTTAAAAGATTAGAGTAAATAATTCTAAATTCTAAAATTCTCCAGTAAAGGATTATTTTCAAGGCCTGTCATTGCTAACACACATACACACACACTTCTCATTTGAGCTCATCAAAATTGTGGCCATGCCTTCATTTCTTCTGTGCATGCCATATAAAGGTGTGCCAATAACTTAGATCATGGTGATGTCACGCTTAAATGCCATCCTATTTTCCTTATTATTTATTATAGGGGCAGTTTGATGGGCAAGCCAACTTTGTGAGTAAAAACTACTTCCTTTATTAGTTGGTTTATTCAGCATTGACTGGCTTTTACCTTGAATGATTTGCTGCATTTCCTTGATAATCCTTCTAGGATGTCGACATTGGCAACCTGAAGATGAACGCTAAGTACAGAGTGAGTGTTGGAGCTTATGGCTGGGCAGGAGAAGGTAGACCCAGCATGCCCAGAGACATCAGTACAGCTTCACATGGTGAGAACCCATTATTTTCAGTGGGGAACATAATTTCAGCAGATGTACTTTTAATGTTTGGGTCATTTTCTTTTTCTGCCATCAGAAATGTGCATGCCCCCCTCACCCCCGACCCAGCCAGTTGTCATAGCCGTATCAGACACAGAGCTGGCGTTGTCGTGGCAGCAAGGAGAGAGTGAGGGAAGTGCACCTGTTCTTCACTTCCTGGTGGCTTACATCAGGTCAGTCATGATTAAACAGTTTCAAATGATGCAGTTAAATATTTTTCTCAACAACTCATAAACTCTGTTTCCCACTTAAAGTCTAAATAAGTCCCCTACATTAATGAATCGATTTGTACAGTGTAGGCACTTACCTGTGAGGGCGTAAAAGCCAGAGGTGGCCTTGTCACAGAGGGAAATACAGTAAGTCTAATATAGTTCCAAACATAATTAAAGCTGCAAGCAGCGTCGTTCAACCCTCGCAGCTCCGCGCCGCTCCAGCCTGGCCGGCAGCCCGGGGCATCCGGGCACATCCACGGAACAGAAACGTCGACCACCCCGACAGCAGAAACTGCAAATGGTCTCCTCATCCGCACCTCACCCTGACTCAGCATGTCCTCTGAGCCCACCATTAAATTACACATGTCACCACTAGGGGATACTCTATCTTTACCACACAGGTGGTGTGATGACACAGACCAAGTTTAATGCTATTTTGTCCACGTTTTTTGAAGTTATTGAAGGTTAAAGTTATCTAGGGGGCGCTGTGACCAATTACATAAAAATCCCATTGAGGTCCTCTTAGGGAGTTGAAGATGGCTTTGTGGTAGTTTGGCATCAATCAGACTTTGCGTGTGCTTTCTAGAGCAAGAGAGCTGAAAGGGGGAGGAGCTAAAGGGATTTGAACCAACAACCCCATCATTGTGTTTGGTGCAGTCACGTGATGACACAAGCCAAGTAAAATGCCATTCTGACCTTGTCTTTAGAAGTTAATAAAGTTTGAACCTATCCGGGGGGCACTGTGACCATTTACAACTAAATCCCATAGAGGTCATCTTTGGTCATCAAAGATGGTTTTCTGTTAATTTGGCATCAATAAAATGTTGCGTGGGTCATCTAGAGCCAAAAGGCTGTAAGTGGGCGGAGTTAAAGTGATTTGATCGAGTGAGCACATAAATGTGTTGATTGCAGTTGCGTGATGACTCCCACCATGTTTAATATAGTTTGGAGCTTTTTTGTAGACGTTACAAAGGTTTTATTGTATCTAGTGGTTGCTATCCCAAATTTAGGAAAATATCCCAGGAAGAAGTTTGTAGGTTGACAACAAACATTTGCGTGCATTTTGGTGTGAATTGAATTATGCATATGTAATTCAGGGCCTAATATCTGTCAGGGGGCGGAGATAAAACAATATCAACCAATGACCACAGGATTGTGTTGAGTGCCTTTGTGTGATGACACATGGCAAGTTTGGTGCAGTTGCAACCTCGTCTGTAGGAGTTATTACAGTTTTAAAGGAACATAGGGGGCGCTGTAGTGATATTATACAACATTCACCAGCTGTTTGTGCCTCATTGGCTAAAGGGCATGATTGTTGATCGCCATGTTCAGTCTTGTGAAGATCTGAGGCTGTTTGTGGAAGTTACAGTCAAACGTAAGGTCACGGCGTCACGCCAGAATTTGCTATGGCATCAAAGCCCCTCCCGGTCTGGAAAGCTATCAGAACTGAATGGTCATTACAGCATCATGAAGACAGTGCATGACCTTAGTGTCGTGTTGACTAAATTAGAGGGGACAAATACGGGCATTTCACCATAAAACAATAGACTTCCTGTTGCCAGGGGGTGGGGCTTAGGTGATGTCAGCTGTCCACATTGTCATTGTCTTGAGATATGGTCAGTGATCACACAGACACAGTTTGATATAGACCTGATCATGCATATTGGAGTTTTTACATCAATGAATGTAATGGCAAAAGGTCAATGTTTGAGGCTTAGCCACGCCCACACCTTTCAACTTTTGAAAAATCTGACAGATGAACTTTCCCCCCCATGTCTTAAGAGTATAGAGCAACAGTTTGAAGGCGATCGGTGAAAAGGGCAACGGAGCGAAAACCACTAAATCGAGTACTTGGACCAAAATGGCCGACCTCCTGTGCAACTTTGCGCTTTGCTCCAATAGACTTTTTTTGTAGGTCCTGCAACACCACATTAGTGTACCAGATTTTTTAATCCTCATTCAAAGCATGGCTTGGGGCTGACAGTTTAAATGGTCCCAGGGGTCACTATTTAAGAAAACAGACCACACCCACTGGATTTTCACATCACATTTTTTGGGGGGCGGGACTGGGATCACTCACCAGAAGTGTCGTGACCATATCTTTAGAATTGACCAAATGGGAGGCAAACGTATTTGCATGGTGTGATGGCGAATTTCGCCATGCTCCCAAAGCTCCGCCTTTTGTCGAAACCTGCCAGTACTGGACATCAAGTGACCTCAACTTATCTACTGCTATTAGCCAGAGATTGCTGGTGATCAAATCAAATCAATCAAATTAAAGATACTTTATTAATCCCAGAGGGAAATTAGAGAAAATTAAAAAGAGTGGCGTGGCGACAGGTCAAAGTTTGAGGCTTAGCCACGCCCATACCTTTCAACTTTTGAAAAATCCAACAGTTGATTGTTTTCCCCTACACCTTAAGAGTATATAGCAGGAGTTTGAAAGTGATGGGTGAAAAGGGCGACGGGGCATCATTCTCCAAACAATGTGTGCGAAAACCACTAAATCGAGCACTTGGACCAAAATGGCCGACCTCCTGTACGACTTTACGCTTGGCTCCAAGAGACTTTTTTGTAGGTCCTGAAACACTACATTAGTGTACCAAATTTCATAATCGTCAGTCAAAGCATGGCTTGGGGCTGACAGTTTTAATGGTCCTAGGGGGCGCTATTTAAGAAAATAGGCCACGCCCACAGGATTTTCACATCAGATTTTTTGGGGGGCCAGACTAGGATCACTCACAAGAAGTTTCGTGGCGATATCTTTAGAAATGACGAAATGGGAGGCAAACGTATGGCCACAGCAGTACGCCTGACTTCGCCATGCCGCCACAGCCCCGCCCTCTTTTGAAAACTCCCATAAAGTGACGCCAAGCAACCCCCACTTGTCTTCAGTTACCAGCTACAAATTTGTGGTGAGTAAGTGAAATGGGGCAATTTGGGACCTATCACAGTAAAACTTGACCTTTTTGGTCCTGAGGGGGCGGGGCTTGTGTGATGTCATCATCCGACCATTCAGTTTACTTTGTGGGTGGATGTGGAATGACCACAGAAATTTTTGTAACTTTAAACGAGTATGAAGTTATAGCCGTTTAAATTTTTTTAGCGAGTAGTCGAACTTCGAGGCCTGGCCACGCCCCCACAGCTATAAAAAAAGTCAGTTTTAGTTTTTCTATTTGATTGCCCACTCCTTCTGAGCAATTTCCCACAACTTTTGAGACGATCCTGCGAAAAATGATCGAGTAAATTAATCAGAAGCGGACCCTAGAAACGGCCAAAACGGGGTCAAAATTACAACTTCAAACCAAAATGGCCGACTTCCTGTTTGATGTTGACCATGGTTTCAAGAGGCTTTTGAGTACTACAAGTGTACAAAATTTTATAACCGTACGACAAACTAAAGTTTATGGAGGGGGGTATTTTTCACATTCTAGGGGGCGCTGTGGAACTAGTTTAATAGCAGTTTTTTTTTGGGACCTTTAAAATACAAAATTTTACACGATGCCTGACATGTGTGCAAAAATTCCTGAGTTTTTGGGTATGTTAAGGCCTCCAAAAAGCCAATTTACTTGGCAGAAGAAATATAAACAGAGCAGATACAACAGGCCTTTGCAGCGCTTTCGCTGCTCTGGCCTAAAAATTTGACTATTTATCAGCTTTTCTGTTCAGTTGTTTTCACAAATAAGGCCATGAAATCGCGTCACCTTTTAAAAGTGAGAATTCATGCAAATTGGTTGAGGTGTTATTTACTTTTTTAAGGTGCTGTCATTTATTATTATTTGTTATTTTTAAAGGGATACTTTGCAACTTTTTCATATATTTAAATAATTTTCTTCAGCCACTATTTGCTAAAATGACCCTTTACAGGGTTAATGAAATGTCACCGCCCTCTGTAGCCAGAATATCACACTTGCAACTTCAGAGTGCCGGTCTGGTCTGTTGGACTTATTAAAAAAAATGAGCTGACATACTGCTGCAATCTGCTTCCAGCACATTTCTTGCATGATTAGATCATGAACACAGCTGATTTGTTTAATGTTGCATTATGTAGGAATAAAGGAAAAAGGACTCCCTGTGGTAAAATTTGGCTACTGTAACCACTTTAAAAAACTCAGGAAATTTTGCCGGCTGCCATCAAATTACAGTTGTTGGCGCTGCAGTATTAGCTCGCAGAAGACACAACCCCACATTCACTGATGGTAAACAGTTACGTCCCTCCTTCCTTTGTTTTAAAAGGAGAAAACCTGACAATCCCTGCAGCCAGCTGGATATGAAATATGTTTCAGAATAAATTTCCTTCTAAAATGTAACTTTAGGCTATTTTGGGATTTTCTCACTGTAAAATTCTCACTATATTCATATACATTGCACCTTTAATTTAGTGACAAACTACTCCTGTAGAGTACAACGAAGGCTGGGGAGACATTTCAGCTTTCAGATGATAGTGTTAAAAAACAACAGGTGTCTTTTGGTTCTACTAAACGGATACTAGGAAGGGCTAAAAGCAAGCCAAAAGTCTCCATTTAAATGTCTTTATTACATAACTTGATTGTTTCTAAGCTAAGCTAGCTTCCTCTCTATTGCCCTGTACACAATGCTAAGCAAACTTAAGCTGATTAACAGTCGGTACTTTGTACATTGTTAGAATTGCTTAATGCAAGCAAATGTCAAAACATAAATATAAACAATAAACCAAAATGGAAGAAATATTATGAAACAATATTAAACAAACTATTAAAACCAAGGGAGGAGCATTTATTGTCATAACTGTACCAATACTAGTGCTCTCTTTACTAATTAAACATACTGTTTCCCATTAAATATGACTATTATTTGCTACATAATGCAACACATTCCTGAAAAGGCAGAATCTTCAGCTCTTTTTAAAAATAATTTGCATGCATCTCTGCCAGCCTGCTCAGTGTACACTTGTGTTTTGACATAAGGGTCAGTTGGGACATGAGAAAGATTAGATTTCATTCTGTTGCCATTAGTTTTCTGTCTCACACACACATACACACACGCACGCACGCACGCACGCACACACACACACACACACACACACACACACACACACACACACACACACACACACACACACACACACACACACACACACACACACACACACACACACACACACACACACACAACGTACCTCACATGTCTAGACTGAGCCTCCAGAGGCAAGGCAGCTGATGTCACAAACAAGCAGCCCAAGTCCTTTGATGATTTGTGGTGCATTAATATGCAGACAGCCTAAAAGGCTTGATTAAAAGAAAATGATAAAAGAAAAAGAAAGCAAATGTAACAAAACTCCAGCGCTGATAAAATTTTTGGTGTTGAGTTGCAAAGAAACAAAGAGAAATTGTTTCACTTTGAGTGAACAGACATGACTTTGTGTCTGTTTTTTGAACGCGGTGGCATTTTTCACTCAGAAGGACCATCTTGGCTGCAAATCTGTCCCTCCTCACATCAAAAGAGGCCTTACTGAAGAGAGACATTGAGTGTTGTTGAGTGTCGTCGAGAAAACGCTGTGGCCTCAGGCTCTCAGAGTCAAAGCAGAAACAAGATTCAGAAAAAAGCTGAACATGGAGACTAAGAAGGAACTGTTCAAAATGTATTTGTTTATTTTTCAGCTATTTTTTATGAATTCAGAGATGATAGCTTTAGCCATGAGATACCACCATGAAACTGAATCACAAGTGAGTTATGGAATTTTAAATAGGAGTTAGTTTAATCAGTCAATAAGCTGACCAGAATGTGACTTTAGTGATTGTTTTTTTTATACACTTTTTGGTTCTTTTATTTTCCAACTCAGGCCAGAAATGGACACGGAATGGACGTACATCCGAGAGCCCATTGACACCACCTCCATGGTTTTAAAAGGGCTAATGCCAGACACAGAATACCAGTTTGTTGTCAGAGCTGTCAACATGCACGGAGTAAGCCCACCTAGCCAAATCAACAACCCAGTTCGCACACATGGTAAGGTCAGATGTTGATCTTTGGGCCAGTTTTTGAGAACCTTTACCCTCCCTCAGCTCCTCTTTCACCTGTTCGATCTTTTATTGAAGACCAAGCTCACTGAAAACCCGTTTGCAGGCTGAATGTGAAAATAGCGCTCTATCCCTATTTCCTGCATTTGCTGCCAATAGAGAATATACAAAGGGCGTTTCTCAATGCCAAGAAACCTCGCCTTGATGTCTTGGCCCCGCCCAGTTGCCTAGGAGATAAGTCATCAGGAGCCGCCAAGGCATGTTCCAATGTTCACGTTCTACAAAGGTGTCTATTCTCCATTTGTTAGCCAATAAGCTAGGTGAGGATCAGACAAAGCAAGGATACTCAGAAGGTGTCTTGTAGCCTAGCTTTGGTCAAAAATTTCCCAGAATACACCACGGTATTTTCAAAAGGATGGCCTAGGTCACAGGTCGATGATAGATTTTGTAGTCATATCATCTGACCTGCGGCCGTATGTTTTGGACACCCGAGTGAAGAGAGGGGCGGAGCTGTCAACTGATCACCACCTGGTGGTGAGTTGGATCAGATGGCAAGGGAACATGCCGCGTAGACCTGGCAGACCCAAACGCATAGTGAGGGTCTGCTGGGAAAGCCTGGCAGAAGAACCTGTCAAGACGGTCTTCAACTCCCACCTCCGGCAGAGCTTTGACCACGTCCCGAGAGCAGTGGGGGACATTGAGTCCGAGTGGGCCTTGTTCCACTCTGCGATTGTCGAGGCGGCTGTTGCTAGCTGTGGTCGCAAGGTGGCCGGTGCCAGTCGTGGTGGCAACCCCCGTACCCGCTGGTGGACACCAGAGGTTCGGGGAGCCGTCAGGCTGAAGAAGGAGGCCTACAGGGCGTGGCTGGTCTGTGGGTCTCCGGAGGCAGCAGACAGGTACCGGATAGCCAAGCGGGGTGCAGCAGTGGCAGTTGCCGAGGCAAAATCTCGGGCGTGGGAGGAGTTTGGTGAGGCCATGGAGAAAGACTATCGATCGGCTCCAAAGAGGTTCTGGCAAACTGTCCGGCGCCTCAGGAGAGGAAGGCTCGCTCACACTGTTTACAGTGGGGATGGGGAGCTGCTGACGTCAACTGAGGCTATAGTCGGACGGTGGAAGGAATACTTTGAGGAGCTCCTCAATCCCACCAATGCGCATTCCGAGGAGGAACCAGAGCTGGGAGGCCTGGGGATGGACTGTCCGATCTCGGGGGCAGAAGTTGCTGAGGTAGTCAAACAACTACACAGCGGCGGAGCCCCGGGGGCGGATGAGGTTCGTCCTGGGTATCTCAAGGCTATGGATGTTGTAGGGCTGTCATGGTTGACATGTCTCTACAACATTGCGTGGTCATCGGGGGCAGTTCCTAGGGAGTGGCAGACCGGGGTGGTGGTCCCCATCTTTAAGAAGGGTGACCTGAGGGTGTGTTCCAACTATAGGGGGATCACACTCCTCAGCCTCCCTGGAAAGGTCTACTCCAAGGTACTGGAGAGGAGGGTCCGATCGATAGTTGAATCTCAGATAGAGGAGGAGCAATGTGGTTTTCGTCCTGGCCGTGGAACTGTGGACCAGCTCTATACCGTTGCAAGGGTGATGGAGGGGGCATGGGAGTTTGCCCAACCAATCCACATGTGCTTTGTGGATTTGGAGAAGGCTTATGACCGTGTCCCCAGGGGCACCCTGTGGGGGACGCTCCAGGAGTATGGGGTGGGTGGCTTTCTGTTAAGGGCCATTCAGTCCCTTTACCAGAGGAGCGTGAGTTTGGTCCGCATAGCCGGTAGTAAGTCGGACCTGTTCACAGTGAGGGTTGGACTCCGCCAGGGCTGCTCTTTGTCACCGGTTCTGTTCATCACTTTTATGGACAGAATTTGTAGACACAGCCGTGGTGTGGAGTGTGTCGAGTTTGGTGGCAGGAGAATCTCGTCTCTGCTTTTTGCGGATGATGTGGTCCTCCTAGCTTCATCCAGCTCAGACCTTCAGCTCTTGCTGTGTAGGTTCGCGGCCGAATGTGAAGCGGCTGGGATGAGGATCAGCACCTCCAAATCTGAGACCATGGTTCTCGACCGGAAAAGGGTGGCTTGCCACCTCCGGGTCGGGGGAGAGGTCCTACCTCAAGTGGAGGAGTTTAGGTATCTCGGGGTCTTGTTCACGAGTGAGGGTAGGAGGGATCGGGAGATCGACAGGCGGATTGGTTCGGCGTCTGCAGTGATGCGGACGCTGAGCCGATCTGTCGTGGGGAAGAGGGAGCTGAGCCAGAAAGCCAGGCTCTCGATTTACCGGTCGATCTACGTCCCAATCCTCACCTATGGTCATGAGCTTTGGGTAATGACCGAAAGAACGAGATTGCGGATACAAGCGGCCGAAATGAGTTTCCTCCGTAGGGTGGCCGGGCTCAGCCTTAGAGATAGGGTGAGGAGCTCGGACATTCGGGAGGGAATCGGAGTAGAACCGCTGCTCCTCCGGATCGAAAGGAGCCAGTTGAGGTGGTTTGGGCATCTGGTCAGGATGCCTCCTGGACGCCTCCCCGGGGAGGTGTTTCGGGCATGTCCTGCCGGCAGAAGGCCCCCGGGTCGACCCAGGACACGTTGGAGAGGTTACATCTCCAATCTGGTCCGGGAACGCCTTGGGGTCCTGCCGGAGGAGCTGGTGGACAAGGCCGGGGAGAGGACGGCCTGGAGCTCCCTAGTTGGGATGCTGCCCCCGCGACCCGGACGCGGATAAGCGGAGGAAGACGACGACGATGGCGGATCATAAGCCGGCAGCTACTTCAGGGGTAAATTTCAAGTTTAAATGTAAATCAACAAATTGCAGCTATCAGGTTGATATCTGAAATGTCTTTTTAGATCCAAAGAAGTTATCTATGGTTGATTAGATGCTAGTGGTTGCAGCTTCGGTGGCTAGTGGGTAGTAACTCACTTACATACTCAGATTAATAAATATATACACATTTAAAAAAATAAAAAGCTCATTTATATATTTATATTGAAACTTATACGAATGAAATACGTTATCTCCCGAGGCACGTGATGCAAGTCTCCATCCATCCATCCATTTTCATCCGCTTATCCGGAGTCGGGTCGCGGGGGCAGTAGCCTAAGGCGAGAGGCCCAGACTTCCCTTTCCCCAGCCACTTGGGCCAGCTCCTCCAGGGGAATCCAAAGGCGTTCCCTGGCCCGGTGAGAGAATTAGTCCCTCCACCGTGTCCTGGGTTTACCTTTAGGTCTCCTCCTGGTTGGATGTGCTCAGAAAACCTCACCAGGGAGGCGTCCAGGAGGCATCCTGACCAGAAGCCCGAGCCACCTCAACTGGCTCCTCTCGATGTGGAGGAGCAGCGGGTCTACTCCGAGCCCCTCCCGAATGACAGAGCTTCTCACTCTATCTCTAAGGGAGAGCCCAGCCACTCTTCGGAGAAAACTCATTTCGACCGCTTGTATCCGCAATCTCATTCTTTTGGTCACTACCCAAAGCTCTTGACCACAGGTGAGGGTAGGAACATAGATCAACTGGTAAATCGAGAGCTTCGCCTTCTGACTCAGCTCTCTCTTCATCACAACAGACCGGTACAACGCCCACATCACTGCAGATGCAGCACCAATACGCCTATCGATCTCACGCTCCAGTTTTCCCTCACTCGTGAACAAGACCCCGAGATACTTAAACTCCTCCACTTGGGGCAGGACCTCATCCCTGACCCGGAGAAGGCATTCTACCCTTTTCCGAATCAAGACCATGGTCTCAGATTTAGAGGAGCGGATTTTCATCCCAGCTACATCACACTCAGCTGCGAACCGCTCCAGCGAAAGCTGAAGATCATGTTCTGATGAAGCCAACAGGACCACATCATCTGCAAAAAGCAGAGACCTGATCCTCAGGCCACCAAAACGGATGCCCTCCACACCTTGGCTGCACCTAGAAATCCTGTCCATAAATGTTATGAACAAAATCAGTGACAAAGGGCAGCCTTGGCGGAGTCCAACTCTCACTGGGAACGAGCCTGACTTACTGCCGGCAATGCGGACCAAGCTCTGACACTGGTCATACAGGGACCTAACAGCCCGTATCAGAGGGCCTGGTAACCCATATTCCCGGAGTACCCCCCCCCCCCCCCCCCCCCCCCCCCCCCAGGGCCCTCCGAGGGACGCGGTCAAACGCCTTTTCCAAATCTACAAAACATATGAAGACTGGTCGGGCAAATTCCCACGCACCCTCCAGGATCGCCTTAAGGGTATAGAGCTGGTCCAGTGTTCCACGGCCAGAATGAAAACCACATTGCTTCTCCTGAATCTGAGGTTCAACAATCCGACGGACCCTCCTCTCCAGAACCACTGAATAGACCTTACCAGGAAGGCTCAGGAGTGTGATCCCCCTGTAGTTGGAACACACCCTGCGGTCCCCCTTTTTAAACAAGGGGACCACCACCCCGGTCTGCCAGTCCAGTGGGACTGCCCCTGATGTCCACGCAATATTGCAGAGCCGCGTCAGCCAACACAGTCCCACAACATCCAGAGCCTTAAGGAACTCTGGGCGGATCTCATCCACTCAATGGAGCCTTTCCACAGAGGAGCTAATTAATTAAGCTAATTAATTAAGATTTGAGAGGCCAACCCAAAGTCCCCAGACTCTGCTTCCTCACTGGAAGACGTGTTGGTGGGATTGAGGAGGTCTTCGAAGTATTCTGCCCACTGATCCAAAACGTCCTGAGTAGAGGTCAGCAGCACACCCTCCCCACTATAGATAGTAATGGTAGTGCATTGCTTTCCACCCCTGTGGCGCAGGATGGTGGACCAGAATCTCCTCGAAGCCGTATGGAAGTCTTACTCCATGGTCTCACCGAACTCCTCCCATGCCCGGGTTTTTGCCTTGGCGACTACCCGAGCCGCGTTCCGCTTGGACTGCCAGTACCCGTCAGCTGCCTCTGGAGTCCCACAGGCCAAAAAGACCTGATAGGACTCTTTCTTCAGCTTGACAGCATCCCTAACTGCCGGTGTCCACCAGAGGGTTCGGGGGTTGCCATCACGACAGGCACCGACGATCCTGCGACCACAGCTTTGGTCGGCCACCTCTGAACTGCAGTTTGGTGCATAAGCACGGATCACAGTCAGAACCCGTCCCCCCACACGTAGGCGGACTGAGGCCACCCTCTCATTCACTGGGGTAAACCCCAACGTACAGGCACCAAGATGGGGGGCAACTAGTATGCCCACCCCTGCTCGGCGCCTCTCAGTGGGAGCAACTCCAGAGTGGTAGATGTCCAACCCCTCTCAAGGAAACTGGTTCTAGAGCCAGAGCCATGCGTTGAGGTGAGTCCGACTATATCTAGTCGGAACCTCTCAATCTCACACAACACCTCGGGCTCCTTCCCCACCAGAGAGGTGACATTCCATGTGCCAAGAGCCAGCTTCTGTAGCCGAGGATCAGACTGCCAAGGTCCCTGCCCTCGACTACCACCCGTCACACACTGCACCCAACCCCTTTGGCCCCTCCCACGAGTGGTGAGCCCATGAGAAGGGGGACCCACGTTTCCTCTTTGGGCTGTGCCTGGCCGGGCTCCATGGGTGAAAGCCTGGCCACCAGACGCTCGCCAACGTGCCCCACTTCCAGGCCTGGCTCCAGAAGGGGGCCCCGGTAACCCACGTCCGGGCGAGGGAACGCGGTTTCCATTTATATGATTCATCATAAGAGGTCTTTGGACTGCTCTTTGTCTGATCCTCACCTAGGACCTGCATGCCATGGGTGACCCTACCAGAGGCAGAGAGCCTCAGACAACTTAGCTCCTAGGATCATTGAGACACTCAAACCTCTCCACCACAGTAAGGTGGCAGCTTAGGGAGAGGGGATGCAAGTCTGTTCCATTTAACTGTTTTCTTTGACCAAGGAAGGGCAGTGTCCTCATAAGCAAGGCGCCTGGCCTCGCAAGACATCATCTTGCGAGGCCAGGCGTCTTAAAATTCTGATGCTCCCTGGCGGTAAGGCTTTTCCTGTTTCCTGTTTTCAGTGTTGCACTACGTGTAGCTGTTTGGTGTTTGTGGCTTTCTAAAACTGATTTAATTTCTCTGTTCTAGGATATCTCTGAGTTATTGTAGCACATAAGCACGCTAAAACACACATTTTCTGTTGTTCCACCTAGCTTTTAGGGAACCATTTGAGTTCACACGCAGTTTATTTTGGTGTTGAACAGTTTGCTCGTCCAGTTAGCTTAGCCTCAGCACGGCTATGGCTACTTCTCTCTCTGCTTCTCCGTCTCCTATCTCTTGCTCTCTGTGTCAGATGTTTAGTTACTCCTCTGCCTACTTTAGTGATAATGGTACATGTAATAAATGTAGCATTTTTGTAGCTTTGGAGGTGAGGGTGTCGGAATTGGAGTCCCGGCTCCGCGCTGTTGAAAAGCCTGTAAACAGCCGTAGCTACTTAGCTAGCGCGGGGCCAACTAGCTCAGAACCACCCCGTAGCGATCCTCCAGCAGAACCCAAGCAGCCGGGACCTCAGGCCGGCTGGGTGACGGTACGCAGGAAGCATAGAACCTAGCCTGTGGGCCACCACCAACCCATCCACGTTTCTAACAGATTTTCCCCTCTCAGTGACGCACCCACTGACAAGCCGACTCTGATCATTGGCATTTCCATAGTTAGAAACGTGGCATTAGAGACTCCAGCAACCATAGTTAAATGTTTACCTGGTGCCAGAGCGGGTGACATTAAGTCTTATCTGAAACTGCTGGCTAAGGATAAGCGTAAATACAGTAAGATTGTTATTCACACTGGCGGTAATGACACCCGGTTATGCCAATCGGAGGTCACTAAAATTAATTTTGCTTTGGTGTGTAAGTTTGCCAAAACAATGTTGGACTCCGTAATTTTCTCTGGCCCTCTTCCTGATCGGACCAGTGATGACATGTTTAGCCACATGCTGTCCTTCAACCACTGGTTCTCTAGGTGGTGTCCTGAAAAAAACGTGGGCTACATTGATCATTGGAAAATTTTTGGGGAAAACCTGGTCTGATGCGAAGAGACAGCATCCATCCCTCTTTGGATGGAGCAGCTCTTCTTTCTAGGAACATGGCCAGTTTTATTAGTCCTCCATGACAACCCAGGGTCCAGACCAGGAAGCAGAGTCGTAGTTTAACACACCCCTCTGCAGCTTCTGTACTGTTACCCACCCACTACCCCATAGAGACAGTGTCCTGCCCACGGCCAAAATCACACAGATTAAATATCAGGCTTAATAAAGCAAATCATGAAAATCTCATAAATATTAGAACAAATTCAACTGAGAAGAAAATTAGAAAAATTAAATGTGGGTTATTGAACATTATTTCTATTTTTTCTAAGACTTTGTTAGTTAATGACTTGATTTGTGATAATCAGATTTCTTTGCTCTCTCTCACAGAATCCTGGCTGCAGCAAGAGGACTATGTTAGTTTAAATGAGTCGACTCCTTCTAATTATTTAAATCATCATATTGCTCGAAGTACAAGGCGAGGAGGAGTAGCAACCATTTTTCATTCTGACTTATTAATCAATCCCTTACCAATTAATAGCTACAGTTCGTTTGAACATCTTGTTCTTAGTTTTCCTAATCCAGATTGCAAAACTGTAAAACCACTTTTGTTTGTAGTTTTATATCGCCCACCAGGCCCTTACTCTGAGTTTTTGGATCAGATCTCTGATTTTTTATCTGATTTGGTCCTAAATACTGATAAGGGGGGATTTTAACATTCATGTGGACATTGAAAATGATAGCCTCAATGTAGCCTTTAGTAATATCTTAGACTCAATTGGATTTACTCAAAGAATACATAGCTCTACCCACTCCTGCCATCATAGATTAGACCTTGTGCTGACTTATGGCATAGAGTGTGAAGAAAAAAACGATCGATCCACATAATCCAGTCCTCCTGCACCACTTTCTGATGACCTTTGAATTTTTTATAACTGAGTTCTCGAGACATTTTTTCCCCACAGAGACCGAATTTCCCAAAGGAACTCACCCGAGGGATTAATAAAGTTCTATCTTATCTTATCTTATCTTATCTAAAAAGGCTTGGTAATCCAGAGTTATCTCTGTAGTTATGCTGCTATAGGCTTAGACTGCTGGAGGATACACTGACCACTTTTCACACTCTACTACTTTCTTCTACAATCTGACCTTTAACTATATTATTTTCTGCAATTTCAGCTGTTAACTTTATTTTTTCTCTAAGTGTTTATCTCCCCAGAAGAAGCTACAATGACGTTCTGCTGAGCTGTGGTGGCCTCATGGAGGGGGCCATCGTCTAGCACACTGCTGCTAACCACTTAAACATTCTTCCTCTCCTGATAATAACTTTTTGCTTTCCTTGACATTGGATGTGCTTCTACTAGTTTACCCTTTTAATTATAGATTCACTAGGATAAATACAAGAAATTGTATCTCTCGCCAAATAGAATATTTACTAAGAAATCACAATGTAACCATAGACACTTTGCTTGGTGTGTGTGGTGTGTGGTGTATGTGTGTGTGTGTTTCTGCTCTGTCTTCTCGATCACCAGTGAGTCGTGGTGGATGGCTGCTTATACTAAGCCAGGATCCTCTGGAGGTTTCTTCCTGTTAAAAGGGAGTTTTCCTCTCCACTGTCGCTTTATGCTTGCTTAGTATGAAGATTGCCGTAAAGTCACTGACTAGTGTCAGTGACTTTGATGCAATTTGCTGGGTTCCTTAAATAGGCAGCGTTTTTTCTGATTGGCTTAATAAACTGACCTGGATTGGAATGTTTATTATGTGACGTGCCTTGAGATGACTCTTGTCGTGATTTGGCACTATATAAATACAATTGAATTGAATTGAATTGAACATTGAGAAACACCCAGGGAAGCATTCATGGACTAAACCATCTTGGCTAACGATGAGGAAGACTGTCATTCATTTAGCATTCAGGAGACAACAGGGCACGCCTCAGCTAGTAGAAGCTAATCGTTAGCATTAGCAACACCACAACATGGTGGAACTCCTTCAGGCTTCTTATTTATGGAGATAAAACATCAACATTAGAAAGGAAATTGAGACAGTACAAGAGTTGTGTTGTTAGCCAATCAGAGCCGAGATGTCCAAGATGAATAACAACGAGACACCAAATCCTCTCATTTCCTGCTCCTTCTGCTTCCTGAAACAGGAGCGCGTGCACATTTTTTTCTCATAAAGATCAACTCATAAGGCGTTCGTTTACCATGCAGAGGTCATTTAAAATGGCTTATCATCAACTTTGGACTATTTAGACTTTGGCTTTTCTTTGAGTCAAGAGCAGAAAGAGATACATAAGTCCTTTATTTAGAAAAAGGATGTATTGGTGTCTTCTTTGATAGTGTATGGTGTACTGCCCCATTGAGTGACATCTGTAGCAGTGAGTATGCTACATTGTTTGTTGTCCAATAGTATGCAGAGACAGTTTGAAAGACAACCATAGATGCCGCCTCACAACTGAGCTCTGTCTATGGGTCAAGAATGGACTACATATTCATTTGTAAATCTATCGGATGGCTTGCCATGCCACCTGCTTGCCATGCTACCTGCTCCTGCATTCGCTGCCAAATGAAAATATACGAGAAAACATCTGAGTCAGAAAAAGCCACAAAGATCTACATCACGCTGATTCATGGATTCACTCACCAAGGGTTTTGACCAGAGAAGGCTTTTGTTGTTTTAGCGTAGAGACTAGAAATCCATCTTGGTTAGTAGAAGCTAACTGTTAGCATTAGTGACTCCACAACATGGTGGCAGTCCTTCAGGCTTGAGTTATATGTGGAGATCAATGTCGCAGAGCAAACTGAGGCAGTGAAAGAGTTGCGTTGCCGTAAGCCAATCAGAAGGAAGAATTTCATGAATGATAATGAGTAAGACGTCAAATCCTGCCATTTTATGCCTCCTTCTCCTCTGGCTAACTTCTACTTACCTGAAAAAGGAACACCAAAGCTTTTTTTTCCCCACAGAGAATCCACAAGGCATTAATTTACACTAGAGACCACAGCAAACATATCTTCTCATCTACAGTAATTCAAGGTGATAAGACATTCATCCTTTAACAGAATCACTGCAAGCATATTGAATAACACTTGTTTAGGCAAGGTAACTAAAAATTACAGGTTTTATGGGCTTTGAAAGACAGTAAGAAAAATGTCAAGGACAGTTAATAAATGAAATAAGACAAAATGAGCCATTAGAGGCTGACGGATAAAATCAGACTCACACAGAAGAATTGTTTCACAGCAGGGGATAAAAGCGGGTTACATCCCAGTCTCATCAGACAGGATTAAGGTCGAAGCCAGACCCCCTTACTGCCCATCTACACTAATAAATACATACACACGTGCACATAACATGCAGCACCTTCACCAAATAAGTTCAATTGACTAATTTTTTTTTTCTGTTCTGGTAAATTTTCATTCAGAAAAATTACGCTAATTAAGTTAAATCCATCAGACAACAAAAGATTAATTTGCCTTTGCAGCAACCCCCCCACCCCCACCCCCCCACCCCGCGCCCCATGTGCCAGTTCTCATTTAACATGAATAATGCTTTTATTTAGCTCCAATCAACCATTTGACCTCTTCATTTATCCAGACAATAATGTCAAGTTTTATAGTGCAAAAAAATAAAATAAAATAAAAAGAGATGCTCAAATGATACAAAGATTTGTTCTGATGTTTGTGACAGGTACATCAGATGTTGCCAGTGGTGATTTTGGCCGTTACATTGCCAACTCCGGAATCGAAGATGAAGATGGATTTGACTTTGACGACTCAGATTATGACGTCTTTATCGAAGAGGTGGGCCTTAAATAAAAATTAAGATGGTTTAAGATTCTTGAAATAAGAATGAATTTCAAACAAAAACAAGCCAAAGTGAAATCGAAGTATCTGGACGTTTTATGTCATTCCAAACCTGTGTTCCAGCTGAAGCCATTTCCAGGTATCAGTGAGGGTAACAAGAAATCTCAACTCCGTTCACACTCTGGTCCTCCATCTGGTCAAAACGTTGTTTATCGGATGAACACTGTAGAGCCCCCGAATGTCACGGCTCAACCTTTTTCCACAACCCTTGCATTCATCTTCTCGGATTTCACAGATCTGGTTTTTACAGCCACCGCTGAGCCAAATAGTGCACCTGACACCATGACTACGACTCCTTTTACCCCAACCAGGTGAGAATGGTGGTACGGTGTGCCGTCTTTGTAGTTTTCCTCCATTGCAGCTCCAGTGCTGAGACCGTCCAATAAACGTAGAGTGCTGTGATTGTCAAGACACAAAACAGTTCGAGCCAATGGTAGACCTGCTGAGGATGCAGTGGAGCGTGGCCAGACCAACTTGCAGAGCAAAATGTTATGCAAATGCTACGGTTTATCTAGATTTCTAAGCTAACTATGGTCCTCCATCTGGTCAAAATGTTGTTTATCGGGTGAACACTATACACTAGGGATGGGTACCTTTCACTTTTGAAAGTGGATCAATTTGGTACCAATTCCCGGTACCTAGGAATCGATAAGGGTACTTAATGGTATTTATTTTTGATACTTTTGAGTGTTTAATAATTAATAATTATTTTTGTAATGACATTTTTTTCTCAAAATATATAACCATATTTGATAAACATCATGATAAATAACATACAAACTCTTTGTATTTTATCATCATAGTAATTCACAATATGAAAATCTTTAACTTCCAACTGAAAACCCAGCTCTGTGTACTCCTAATCCTCTTCTATGCCCTCTGGAATAACTACGAAGAGGAGACCATGCATTATAAACTACAAAGGAAACAAAAACAAACTTCGATATCATACAACTGTTTGTATTTTAATATTGTGGTGTTTCACAAACTAAAACCCAGCTCCGTGTACTTCTATTCCTCTCCTTTTCCCTCTGGACAATAATGTGATGGGTGGGTGGTACTGCAAATTAAACTGAAGCAAAAATGAACTAAATTTACCCTTTATCTTCATTCCTTTTGCCGTTCATTTTGAAACAGGGATTTTCCTTCTCGGAAGTCGGAATTTTTGAGTTCCGAGGAGGAAGCGAACGCACCATTAGCATATACCAACAGAAGCTAAAGTATCAAGCAACAGTTAACAGTTTATTTACCTGCTGGAGCAGATTAAGAAGATAACTGACTTAGAACGTTGTAAATGTTGTCATCATCACCCAGTCAGCCATCACCTTTACTGAAACCCAAACTTTAGAGCGCATCCCCTCTGCCATGCTTCTTGCTCTGTTTACAGCTGGCCTGCAGCGACTGATGACATAACGCTCTTGCACACGTGCTGCTGTATATCTTGGGAAATCAGGTACTGAACTCCATGGTACTGAAACAAGGCACCGTTTCTTATCACATGAATTGGTTCTTGGTCAGTACCATGGATTTTGGTCGGTGCCTTAAAAAGTACCGAATATGGCACCCATCCCTATTATAGACTCCCCAAATGTCAGGGATCCACTAGTTTCCACAAGCACTGCATCCATCTTACCGGATTTCACATATCTGGTCAAAATTAAAATTACATTATTCATAAGCAGAAAGGACTAACCAATCTGTTTTATATTTCTTCACCTGCTCGGATCCACCTCAGCACTCCTGCGTCCACCACTCCAACCATCTCCCCCTGGCGAGGAGAGGTACCTCGTGTTTATGAGCTGGACTGTGAGGACACTGTGTGTCCGTCAGACAGTTTCTGTCTCAGTGATGATGTGAGCGGAGGTTCACGCTGCCATTGTAACCTTGGACGCAGAGGGGACACCTGCTCTGAGGGTAACATGTTGAATTTAAACTCACCATTTAAACTACTGTAGGTCATTTTAAACATGTACATTCAATTTAGGCACATTCAAACGAACTGTCGTCCAGAATCCATCTAAAGGACATTACAATCATGTTTTTGTCTTTTCTTCTTCAGTCATTACAATTAACTTTCCCAGATTCTATGGCTACTCTCACATGACCTTTGAACCCCTAAAGAATTCCTACCAGACCTTTCAGATCACTTTGGAGTTCAAGGTAAGAGATTGTCTCATTTTTTAAAAGAATTTTTTTACCTTAATGAAAATATATTTTGATCTTAATAATTTTATGGTGCAGGCGGAGTCTGTAGATGGTTTGCTACTTTACTGTGGAGAGAACGAGCACGGCCATGGTGACTTCATGTCTTTGGCTTTGGTTCGAGGAAAACTGCACTACAGGTAGTGTTCAGTTCAGTTTAATTTAGTCACAAAGCACCTTCCACCAGTCGAGAGCCCAAAGTGTTGTACACGAGAAATAAAAACACAAACCAGAAATTACAGTAAGCATAAAAAAAGTGACAACAAATAAAATTGCACCATTGAAATTCAATTCAATTCAAGTTTATTTCACAACCAGCATGAGGACCGGGTGCGTCTTTACAGTAAATATACAAAACATATGTATAAAACTACGGACTAGAGGCTCTTTTATACGATGTCAGGAATGCAGAACTGTCACAGGTGGCAGGAACGGCCAATCACACGCTGGCAAGTGTCAGTAGAGCCAATAGATGAGTTTATGGACGGTTCTAATAGGAAACAGGCTTCAACGCAAACGGTTGTTTTCTGCTTGGTCCTAGTGCTCAATCAGTGTTTATTCAATATAGCGTAATATTGTTTTTGGACAGTAAAAGTGCAGGGGACAAAAATTGGCTTTGGACAATTACACATCCATGGGGCCAACACAGCAAATGCCCGATCCCGTCTGCATTTCTGTTTGGATCTTGGATTCACTGATAAATTATTCTCAGTCAAATAAATGGATCTTGCAGGTACAAGTAAATAAAGAAAAGTAGTGGGTCTAAAGCAGACTGTTACGTCCTCTAAAGGTGGAAAAAAGGACAGGGAGTAACACAGAGGCATGTGCTTCAGGTGTTAAAATTGGAAACAAGGATTTTGTTTTAGGATTCTAAAAAGGCACAAAGATCCAAATCTAAAAGGCCTTAAACACTTTGCTAAAATGGCCATGGGTTTACGTTTAAAACAGACATCAGAATGCTCCCAGACATTCACAAACAAAGTCCACTGACATATACATAAGTTTGGGAACCAAAGAGGGAACCAGCTCTCTGGTCCCTCGTCTGTTAAAAACATCAAAAAGCTCTTAAGCTTCACTAAGCTCAAACAGCTAAAACCCATTTAAAAGCCATTACAACAGAAACAAATGGAGCAGGTGAGAGAACTGGCGCAGGTCCAGTCCCTCCCTTCCTCCTGGCGGCTCTCCCTTTTATGCTGCTCAGGAGGTGATCAGTCCAAGTGAGTGCAGCTGTGCTGGTAGGAGGAGGAGGAAAAGCACCGATTGTCATCTGCAGCTTCAAATTTCTGGGACAAACAGCAACAGCTGTAACACAGACCCTTGAGGGACCCCCCCCCCCCCCCCCAATTCAGTGGAGTGGCTTTGGAAGAACATAACCCTATCCACTGAAGATCTGCTCCACCAAGCCCCATATACGATGCAAAGACCAACAAAAAACCCACGATTGTAGCAAATACAGCTATACATTTATGTCGGAAATTTACACATTGTTTTTATTAATACCATTTTAATAATATATGATTACGACTGCATTTTTGTGATATAGGATGTGAGTGACCTGTTTGATTTTTGTCTCTTCAGGTTTAACTGTGGAACTGGACCTGCTCAGATAGTCAGCGAGAGCCGTATTGTTCTGGGTCAGTGGCACACGGTGACTGTCTTCAGAGACGGCATGAATGGATGGATCCGTATGGACAACGACAACCCGATAAGTGCACGCTCACAGGTAACAGCACGCCACACCTTGCTGCTTTAATTCTTCTGATCATAGTGTCAACAAGGTTCTGGACTCATCCCTCACAAGTTCATAGTGATGTGAAAGCATCACTCAGTTGACGTCGGTCACATCCCCCAAATCATTACACTACCACCAATCTAAAGTGGTAACACAAGGCAGGATGGACCCATGCTTTCATGTTTTTTACACCAAATTCTAAAAACCACATGATGCTCCAAGGCATCGAGACTCACTGAAGACGATGCACATTTTACTCACTCCACTCTTTTTCTTTCAGGGTCAGTACACTAAGATAACTTTCCGCTCCCCATTATATGTGGGTGGATCTTCAAGAGCTTACGGGCTGCTCAAAGCAACGGGAGCAAATCGTGGTTTTGTCGGCTGCCTTCAGAGTCTGACCATCAACAACAAGGCGACAGACATCAGGCCATGGCCTCTGGGCAAAGCGCTGAGTGGAGCTGATGTTGGTGAGCTACAAACAGGATGTGAAAACTCTGCTTTCTGTGTGGTAAAGTTCATATTTCTGCAGCAGTTTTGATCCGTTCTTATTCTGTAGGTGAATGCAGCGACAGCGTGTGCGACCTGGTCAGTTGTGCCAACGGAGGCGTTTGCTTTGCAAACCGTGCTGACGACTACATTTGTTTGTGTGCACTTGGCTACAGGGGAGTGCTTTGTGAGGAGAGTAAGTTAACAGTATTGTCCTTTCTATTGAATAAAACGTACAGGCTATATTTACAGGGAGCCATTTTAACCACCTTAATGGTAAAAAAAATAAATAAATAACAGCTGTCATGCTGAGCTTTTACAGTAATTACTCAACAATTTCAGAGTGAATTGAAGAAAATTGGCTAAAATGAGGATTATTATTTCTTAGATGAATGGCGAGAGATTGATTGCACGTTAGAACAACTTTCCTACAGTTTAACTTTCCACTTTCTTTCATACTTCCTCACAATTTCCTTAATTTCCCATCTTCAGCATATATAAAACTTCATACTTCGTTTGTGACGTTCCTGACCTGCTCTTGTCGATTCCTCAGGTTTTTTACTGTCCTCACCGCTTTTTAATGAAACCGTGTTTTCATACGCCGTCATCCCGTGGCCCCAGTCCTCTCAGAGTTACCTCTCCTTTATGGAGTTTGAGGTGACGTTCCGGCCGTCATCGCCCAATGGGGCGCTCCTGTACAGCGACGATGCAGAGAGCAGAGACTTCTTGGCTATCAATCTGGTCGACGGATATGTGGAGTTTAGATTTGACTGTGGCTCTGGAGAAGCTATTCTAAGGTAAAAACAAAAAAAAAAGAAAAACTTGGGTATTTTCTTTTTTGTTTTGTATGAAATATGATGATCTCTGTTGCAGGAGTGAGGAGCAGATCAGTCTGGACTCATGGCATGAACTGAGAGTGTCTCGCACAGCAAAGAGTGGAATCCTGCAGGTGGACAACCAAAGGCCAGTGGAGGGAATTGCTGAGGTACTATAGAAAAAAATGTGTTTTTACCAATTTTATGTTTATTTATGTTTATGTTTATTCATTTAGCAGACGCTTTTATCCAAAGCGACTTACAATTTATAAACTATAGGGCATGTTGTGATCTGTGGGGGAAACCAGAGTACCCGGAGGAAACCCACGCATGCATGGGGAGAACACGCAACTCCACGCAGAAAGGCCGCAGCTGAGTTTCGAACCTGCAACCTTCGTGCTGCGAGGCAACAGTGCTAACCACTGCGCCACCATGCAGCCAATTTACGTCAATTTGATGTCAATCAATTAATCAATTTATTTTAAAACTTTTGCTCAAAATGAGAAACTTGATAAATTTCACAAACTGCAGTTTCTGCACATATCCTATTTAATTAAAGTGAAAAGAAGAAAATTTCACTTTATTATTACTTTCCTTTTTTGTAAAAGTGATCAGCTTATAACCTCAGTCAGTACGGTTAGTACTTATAAATATTTATTTTGATAAACAAAACATTAAAATCTTCGTTTGGAATCTGCTATTCTTTCATCTTCTCTTGTGCTGCTTTTATTTCCTCCTGCAGAGCAAAATGAATTCATTATGCATAAAATGTATATTTCTAAACCAACCTTGTTTTAGTGATATAACTAGGTTTGTTTTGTGCATTATTAACAATCTTTGTTTATTTATTTGCTGCGTTTGCTTTTCAGGGAGCGTTTACTCAGATCAACTGCAGCTCCCCCCTCTACGTTGGTGGGGTGCCTGTTTATGAGAAAACCAAGACGACAGCAAGTGTAAGGAAACCCTTCTCTGGAGTCATTCAGAAGGTGAATTCTTTTATTCCACAGCTGGATTCCTCCATACATTCATCCGTTGTAGGCCTCTTATTCGGGGTCGGGTCGCGGGGGCAGCAGCCTGAGCTGCCCAAAACCAGATCACTGCTCCTGAATCTGAGGTCTGACAATTTGAGGTCCGACAGGAACCCCTGACTAGACTTTACCAGGAAGGTTCAGGAGTGTGATCCCCCTCTAGCTGGAACACATCATGTGGTCCCCTTTTTTAAACAGGGGGGCCAATAACAACTAAATTCAATAGGGTGCAACAATATATTCTCTGTTCTGCTCCTCACACCTGATTCTGTATGAGACTATCATGACATGATGTCCGGATATGGTCCACACACTCTGGCATGAAAATGTTACCACAGCAGCATGGACATGTTTCTCATAAATTAGTAATTGGTGGGGCTTTTGAATCATGCTGGCTGTGTTAGGGGCCCATATAGAGTCAGAGGTACTCTGCAAGTATTTAGCTCTTTTCACCAGTTCCACAACTTTTCCTCTGAGGAAAGAAAGGGGGACACATCTTCCTTAACCCTCTGGAGGCAGGCGTTGCAGATTTGCAACATTAAAACCTACCTACCTGGTTACTCCACGTACGTATTTCATGAGCATTTTTTAACTCAGAAGTACCCCTGGAGGACGTAGTTGTTCATCCTTTTATCAAAACTTATTTTGAGCCTGAGAGGGTTAAGAAATGAAATTGAATATTCAGTTACTCATTAAATTACATGCAAACATTTACAAAACACCTTTACGCAATGAGGTTAAATGGCCTGTATTTGATATAGCATCTTCTAGAGTCCTGGGACCCCCCAAGGCACTTCACACACACCCTACTTTGTAGCCACAGCTGCCCTGGGGCACACTGACAGATGCAAGTCTGCCGTACACGGGCGCCACCGGTCCCTCCGACCACCACCAGCAGGCAAGGTGGGTCAAGTGTCTTGCCCAAGGACACAGCGACAGACTGAGCGGGGCTCAAACCTGCAACCTTCCGATTATGGGGCGAGCACTTAGCTCCTGTGCCGCTGTCGTTAAGTACATGAGCAACAGATAGAGCTCTATATGTTGTCCAGTAGCTCAGAGTTTTAAATGTGATGTGGTTAGAGACACTTCTCTTCTCCACCATTGGCTGACTTGAGCTGAAAAGGAGTGCAACAAGGCTCCCATTGATGATTTTTCCGACGGAATGCCTCAAGCAACAATTCCAATAAAAACGAGCGGAATAAGGGAGAAATTCTCTCTGAAGAAGAGCCCTTCACAGCATGTGCAGAAGCAAAATTCTCCCTAGGGTGCACCACAACGTACATTCAGGTGGCATGACTGTGAAAGGACACCTCAAAGACAGTCCAGCACATAACATCAAGGTGTAGCATTCAGGATTTAATCCCTTTTCTTGTAATCCCCCAGTTGATTCTCAATGACCGCACCATCCCAATCACCACCAGCTCTGCTGGTGGAGTTAATGTTCAAAACTCCGCTCACCCGTGTGTGGAAAGTCCCTGCGCCAATGGAGGGACCTGCAGGCCTAAGTGGGACAGCTATGAGTGTGACTGTCCCCTAGGCTATGACGGGAGGCACTGCCAGAAAGGTCAGTGGAGTGGGACAGGCTATTCTCAGTTACAAATAAGCTTAATATTTAGGTTTTGTTTTTAATTTGGACAAAAATATATGTTAATGTAGTAAAGCACAAGTAAATATTTCAGTCTAAGTGTTTTTAAAATGTAAATAATAAAAAATGGAGGCAGAAATAGATGTCATTTAGGTGTAGCAGCTCACATTTAATGCAATATTTTAGCCTCTTAGGGATTAATTTCACTTGTCTCTTGCCATTATTAGTTAAATATACGTATTATAGAAATTGATCATTTAAGCCTCTGTTCCTTTTCTTATTTTAATGCTGTCGTCGAGCAGAATGTGGGAATTACTGTTTGAACAGTAGGTTTCCTTCCAAGAATTTAAATCCAAACATCCATTAGTCTTTTAGCTCAGCTGCAGCCACTACATAGAAGCTGATGCTGCCACCCTGTGACGGTATAAAATGATTGCTTCCCTTTTTCTGCTCAGTTGTTACAGAAGCCATAGAGATCCCACAGTTTATTGGCAGAAGTTACCTGATCTATGACAACAGAGACATTCTTAAAAGGTTGGTAGTGACATTGATATGAATGTACTTATTTACACTTGTCTTAAATGGTTTTCTCTTTGAATTAATAGTCAGTCAATAGAGAGAGAAACAGCAGTATCTGCACATGCCTTACACATTCAACATGTTTAATGCAACTGTTTCTATCATTTATTTATAAAACATTCACTTTTTCCTGTTTCAGAGTTTCTGGCTCCAGGACAAACCTCTTCATGCGCTTTAAGAGCACGGCTAAGGAAGGTTTGTTGCTCTGGAGAGGAGACAGTCCAATGAGACCCAACAGTGACTTCCTCTCAATGGGTCTCCAGGATGGAGCTCTCATTTTCAGGTGTTTATTCTAGAATTTGTATGAAATGGGATGGTCAGAAATTGTGAGGTCTGTGGGCTCAGCATCTGTGCTAAATGTGTGTTAATTGTACTGACTGGAACAGCTATGGAACCAGTCTGGGTCTTTAGTTTAAAGACACACTCCTGAACTTTGCAGCTCTCTGTCGCCCTCTCAAGGCTTGCTGCATAACGTCACATGTTGTAAAATCAAATCTCTCTGTGGTGCATAATAAGTGACATATTTACTGGCTGATTTCCAACTCGCGTGCCCAAACGGATACATTGAGCAGCGTTTCAGCAATGAGTAAAGTTTTACCAGGACTGTATAACAAAGTTATGCCTGAACAAACACAATAACCTCGGAGAAATCATTTATTACTTACCTATCCATTAGCAGCATGGCTAGGTCAGAGTCCGTGCATGCCATTCTGTCTCCAGCGAGGAAAAGCAGGCCCAATATTAACTCTGGTCTTTGCTCTTGCTCTATCGCGTTCTCTCTCTCTTTTCCTAGATTCCTCTGATGAGGGATTTCTAGCTGTCTTTGGTGGATCTCAATCAGTCAATCAAAGCTTTATTTATAAAGCGCCTTCCGTGACCCTGTCAGGAAGCCTAAGGCGCTGAACACAGTACATAAGAAATGTGAAACACAATGAATAAATGGATAATAAAAGCAATTTAAATGGTGCAAAAAAGGTAGAACATTAAAGTAGAAACAAATGCATTAACAATAAAAATGATCGGCCATTGCTCAAGTTTCTAAAATGCGAGCCCACCACAGACATATAAACATGGACGCCCCGTGGACTGGTGCTGCCTACTGGAGCTGCCATAGTGGCCGGTCGCCATTTTAGAAAGGTCTCCATTTGCCCCCAGCGCATTCACGTCTATTGAGGAAGGTGTTGCCTAACTAAAAAACACATTTTTATCAAGCTTTCTCACAAAATCAGACACAAGGTTTGGCATGATACTTAAAATATACAGTAATTAAACAAAATCAATCAAAATACATTTAAGTATAAACTCCTATCAGGTAGACTAGAAAAGTCACTAGTAATCCCACGTGATTTGTTTACAATAGTACCCCGGTTGTTGTAACCACAGGTTGCACAAATATAGGCATAGTTGCTCACTCTGATTTTTCTTTGGAGAATGAGGAGACCCATCCAGTATGGTGGCAACGCTGTTGTGTTTTCCAGAGCCTAATGGGGCATCTACATATTCATGTCTATGGGGTCTACGTGATACTGCTGTAAAGCAACAAACAGTCAGTACTTCCGGTTGCAGACCTGGGGTCAAAAACTGTGTAGTGTGGTAAACAGACATGGGACCTCCTAACTATCACAGCTCTGAAAATGAACAACATAGATGTTGGTATGCCACAAAAACCTTTAAAAAAAACTTTTTTTAAGGTGTAAAAGTTGCGGAATGCGTCTTTAAGGATTAATTTTTGTTTGGTAAACACATTAAATTCTTTGTTTCAGCTATAATTTGGGCAGTGGTGTGGCAAATATCACTGTCAATGGGACTTTCAGCGATGGAAAGTGGCACAGAGTCAAGGCTGTAAGGTGAGCTCAAAAATCCTTCAAAATAAATGTACTTTTTTACACTGATAGTGTTCAGCAGCCACTGATCGTACAAGTTGTCCTCATACTAAGACCTGTAACTTTTATCGTAGGTTCACTTAAACTGTGAGGCACAACATGTGAAAAGATCCAAGAAATCACACTGAATGATTTTTAAAGAATTGAGATAATTGTGAAGAAAATAAGTATTTAAGCATCTACACATAAACAGGTATTTTGACCCTCGCAGAACTGTTATTTCTTCTTTAAGAAGCTCTTCTATCCCCCACTCATTACCTGCATTAGTGGCACTAATTTGAAGATGTCGTCTGTATAAAAGACACCTGTCCACAACTTCATACAGTCAGACTCCAACCTCCACCATGACCCTGACTAGAGAGCTGCCTAAGGACACAAGGGACAAGATTGCACACCCGTACAAGACCGGGATGAGGCAATCTACAATAGACAAGCAGTTTGGTGAGAAGAGATCTGAAGACAACCGTTGGAGCACTTATGAGAAATGAAATAAAAACAAGACCAGCGACAATCTCCTTTGACCTGGGGCTCCATGCAAGATCTCCTCTTGTGGGTTACAAATGATCTTGAGAATGGTGAGCAAACAATCCTGAGCTACACGGAAGGAACTGTTCATTGACAAGAAGAGAACTAGAACCACAGTAACAAAGGCTACTATTAGTAACACACTACGTCGTCACGGATTAAAATCTTGCAGCGCCCGAAAAGTGCCCCTTCTAAAACCCATTTTTAAAGATTCTTTCTGATTATAATCTGTCACTCTTAGTTTTTCATGTAGCCTGAACATGAAGATAGTCTCCTACACCTATCTCCTACATTTGCTTCCGACATAAATTAGATGGTGAAACTCAAGAATTTGAAAGGCCTGACAGATCTATGTCACATGGACTTACCCACCTTGGTTCGTGTCAGGTTTAACGGCTGAGCTGAAGCGTAGCGGAGATGGAGTGTGGCGTAACTGTGTGACCCAGACGCGGAGTGGCTAGCGTTGGGTTAGACAGAGCACGCAGCTTTAATCTGGGAACGGCGACACAGCGCTCGGAGAGAGAGCCGAGACTGAGTAGCAGTTCCGGATGAATAAGATAGCTGGCTTACTGATAGTAGACAGCGTGGATAAGTCCTTGTGTTGGGGTTGAGGGCTGGTAAGCCTGAGAACTCGATTCAAAGTCTGGTAGGAACGATGACTGAGTAATGAATGAATGCCGGTGCTTGCGTATATAGTGTTGGCGTGATGACGTCAGCAAGCCACGTTGGTGGCGGGAATGTTGGGAAGTGGTGGCGAGAATGCTGGGAAATGTAGTTAGCTGGAGGAGTTTGTGACAGTTCAAGACGTGGAGAAATGTTGTTGGTTTAGTGGCCCGGACTACCGCTAGCATTAGCAACTCCACCGCAGAGCAGAACTCCCTCAGGCTTGTTATTTGTGGAGATAAAACCTCAATGTTGCAGAACAGAGTCAGCGGTAAAGTCGTGTTGCTGTTCAGGGAGAATGTCATGTGGTCAGATGAGGCCAAAAGAAAACTGTACGGTAAAAACGCCACTCGCTGTGTTGCATACCAAGAACATCATACCCACTCTGAAGCATGAGGGTGGAAACATTGTGTTTTGGGGATGCTTTTCTGCAAAGGGGACAGGACGACTGACCTATTCTAAGGAAAGGATTAATGGGACTATGTATCTTAAGTATTTTTCTATCAGTGAAAGCATTGCTGATAAAATGTGGCTGGATTTTCCAGCATGACAATGATCCCAAACACACCCCTCAGGCAATGAGGGAGTGGCTATGTAAAAAGCATGTCAAAGTTCTAGAGTGGCCTAGTTAGTCCCCAGACCTCAGAACAGTAGGGAACCTGTGCAGGGAGTTGAAAGTCCTTGTTGTTCAGCAATAACCCCAAAACATCACTGCAACAGAGATCTGCATGGAAGAATGGGTCAAAATACCAACTACAGTGTGCACAAACCTGGTGAAGAGCTACAGGAAACGTTTGACCTCCGTCATCGCTAACCAAGGTTACATTATTAAGTACTGAGGCGAATTTCTGTTATTGAACAAATACTTATGTTCTGCACCTTTATACAAATAAGAGCTTTCAAAATCACACAACGTGATTACAGGTATTTTGTTTTTACAATCTGTCTCTCACAGCTGACGTGTACCTCTGATGAAAAGTTAAGACCTCTCTCATCATTTCAAGTGGGACAAATTGCACAATCGGTGGCAGCCAAATACATTTGTCCCATTGTACTTAATGAAGAACCCAATGACGGCAAATTACTCTTTATGTACTATCTTTTGTCAACCGTTTTTAAAGGGATGGCCAATCAGGAAAGCTGACAGTTGATGACTACGGAGCAAAAACAGGCAGATCACCCGGCATGATGAGACAACTCAACATCAATGGACCTTTATACGTTGGTAAGTCTTTGTGCTGCATGTTCTGTCAACACAAAACAAATCAAACAATTTTGTTATCTGCGTTTCCAGATGTATCTGTTCTCTCTTTGTTTCTCAACCAAAGGTGGCATGAAAGAGATCGCCCTGCACACCAGCAGACAGTATGTCGGAGGCTTGGTGGGCTGCGTGTCCCATTTTACTCTCTCCACTGATTATCACTTGGCTTTGGTGGAGGACGCGTCAGATGGCAAGAACATAAACACCTGTTCCAACTAAAGACAATCTTCAGTGAAGCACCAGATGATGGGGCCCTTTTCCCCACTGGGCCATCTTGTTTGTCAACTGTTTAGCAGCATCAAATAAAACGAAAACCAAACTTTTTATTTATCTTTTTTTTATTAAATGCCCTAAGCCAAACTCGATTGGTTTGAAGCTCAAACTGAAAAAAAAAAAAAAAAAAAAAAAAAACGAACAATGTTGCTCATTTTGGAGCAGCAGGTATGGTTTCTCTGTATGTTTTTTCCTGCATGAAACAGTGACCTGCCATGTTCAAAGGCTTACGTTGCTGAACACGATTACCATCTTTGATCCGCAGCTGCAGGAAAACAAGAAATCAAGTCTTTAGAGGATGCCGCATAGCCTATGTGATCCCTGGAAAAGAAGAGAAAGATTTTAAACAAATAAAATTAAAAAAAGACCTCACATTTTCAGATAAAATTGCCATCTGCATTTTTTTGTACTGTAAATCCTTCTATGATTGCTGGACGTGATCATACGACTCCGAAAACACTAGCAGAGGTAATCTTCTTGTCAGAGGATTTTAGTTCTAGTCCTAGAGAAGCTTTGTTGTGACAATGTTCATGCATTTTCTAAAGTTGTAGATAAATTATCTCAATTTTTAGTACAGATGTCAGCTTAACAGTTACATTTTAAAAGTTCTTTTGTTGTAAAATTAACATTAGTTAGATAAAAGGCTGATTTTGAATCAATGAACTGAATTACTGGAAAATGTCCTCAACACTGTATTTCTGTCACCAGACTCCCCCCCCCCCCCCCCCCCCAGCTCTGTGCACCTTTGATTTAAATATCATTTAATTTAAATGTCTTTTCACACACCAAAAGCAAAAGAAAGAAGCTTTTTCGTTTAAAAGATCCTTGGCCTCATTACTACTGTACGCATTTTTTTTTACCTTTCCAAAAAATAAAAGCGGTTCCAGAAATGTGTTTTAGAGTAAAAAGGGTATATGTGGGATTCCGAGAGAGTTTTGTGGTCCTGCTTTCCTTAGAGAAATCTTGTTAGATCTTTATGTTGACTCTGCTTCAATTTCACCACCAGATGGCACCACATCTTACAAATATGGCCTTTAAGTTTTAAAGAAAGTGATTGAATGTGTGAATTTACACTTTTGCTTGTTTTAAAGTTAAATCTGAATTCATATAAACTACACTCCCACATGAAGAACAAATGACTTTTGTGTTTCATGCTACAAAAGAACAAGTGCTTTTAAAAACAATACCATGTGACGGTAGATGGATGGTGAATGTACTTAAACAAGATCACAGATGGTGGGTTAGGAACAATTACATTGAACTTTAGGAAATTGAGGGTGTGATCATATTTTCTCTTCTGCAGCTGAAGCGTTAGGCGTGTCCTTGCTGCCAATCATTAAAATGATTCAAACTTTCTGCTTTAGCCAATTTTGTGTATTATTGAATTTGGAGAAATATGCAGAAATGCAAGTAAATAAAATGTATAGTCATGCCTTAATACAGCTATAACTCACAACAGTAATAACTTTCTGTTTTAAAAACAAGATATGGATCTGTTTTGTTTGTTTCATGATTAAAGTTTGTAGATTACGTAAAATCAATGAGATAAAATAAAAATGAATTTTTGGCTTTAGAAATTCAGTTGGCGAAAGCTACTGTGTAGCCACAGCCACCCTGAGGCAGTCTGACAGAGGTGAGGCTGCCATTTGGCACCACCGGCCTCTCTGACCACCACCAACACAGGCAAGTTGGGTAAAGCATCTTGCCCCCAAGGACACAACAGCAGTATACCCCTGGCGAGAGCTGGAATCGAACCCATGACCCTCTGATCATGAGGCAACCCGCTCTACCTCCTGAGCTACTGCTACCCCAACATGTATATGTATATATATATTTATTTATTAGAGAATATATATACACATAATAATAAAAATATTTATTTATTTATTATTTATTTATTTATTTATTGTTCTTCTAAAAAAATGTGTTCATCTAAAAAGTGAAGCCCAACTGCTCCACGTGAACTCTTTTCCTCCGACCATATTTGGAACAGTTTATGCCCATTGGACAGTCAGGGCAACAGCACTGTAAAACTTTAAAGACAACAAGAACACAAAACACTCATGACTGATTTGATTTGTCTTGGCTTTTCACAATGAAACAAAAAAAAAATCATGCCTTTTAAAGGATATGTAGCTGAACAGGATGAATATGTTATATAAAAAAGAAAGTTATATCACATTTGAAATATAAAATATATAGAAAACACAAAAACATTTAAACAGTGAAGTTCTTGTTCTACAGTTATTAATCCCAACGCCCTTTTTATAAGAGCACCTTCCTACAAGTAATTTTAATCACAAGCAAGGCAGCAAGATATGATTTTACATTTAAAAATACATTTGAATGCATTTGTGTTTTTGCAAACATCAATCCTGCTGTAGAGATGTTCTGATGTAATCAATTATTAGGATATGTTGTTGAATTTTTGTTGAAGCAAACCCTCGTGTAATCTCGGGGGTGATGCCAGCATCTAACAACCACACTTACTCTAACATCACATGTTGTCATTTTACTTTGGTGGGAATCAGCTCCAGCAAGGGAGAGGCAAATATGTCATGTAACACCCATCAAATGCAGAATCTTGTTCTTTCTTTCATCATGAGGGTTTAGCACAGTTTTGACTGCAACTGAAGACACACACACACACGCACGCACACACACACACACACACACACACACACACACACACGCACGCACGCACGCACGCACGCACGCATGCACGCACGCACACACACACACACACACACACACGCACGCACGCACGCACGCATGCACGCACGCACACACACACACACACACAAATTATTCCAATATTGTTTCACTTGGAATGATTTTACTTGTGAAGTTTGCAGTTTTATTTGACCTATTTGCTCATATTGAGGTCTTCATAATCTTATCTCAGTTTAAGGTTAAAGGTCAGTGCCGCAGGATTTAATAAAATCAGTTATGATAAAAAGGAGAAAGCCTCGTGTTAGGACGTGCCCCCATTTTTCTTTTTTATGTTTTACAACACTTACCTAACTCGGGTAAAGTTGCTCTGCAGGGACAGAAAAATTGATTCAAACTCTGTTACAAATTGTGTTACATTTTCCAAGAACTCTGTGATACTGAGATGTTCTGATCACATTTGAGCCATTTTCTCCAAATGATGGAAATCAAATCAATTTCCCTCAGATTAGTCTTCATCACACTTACTAAGTATGATCAAATGTAAATTCCGCCTTACTCATAAGCGTCGTCATCGTCTTCCTCTGCTTATCTGGGTCGGGGTCGCAGCGGCAGCATCCCAACTAGGCAGCTCCAGACCATCCTCTCCCCAGCCACCTCCACCAGTTCCTCCATCAGGACCCCAAGGCATTCCCGGACCAGATTGGAGATGTAACCTCTCCAACGTGTCCTGGGTCGACCCGGGGGGTCCTCCTGCTGGCAGGACATGCCTGAAACACCTCCCCAGGGAGGCGTCCAGGAGGCATCCTGACCAGATGCTAAAACCACCTCCTCGATCTGGAGGAGCAGCGGTTCTACTCCGAGTCCCTCCCGAATGTCCGAGCTCCTCACCCTACCTCTAAGGCTGGGCCCGGCCATCCTACGAAGGAAACTCATTTCGGCCGCTTGTATTTGCGATCTCGTTCTTTCGGTCATTACCCAAAGCTCATGACCATAGGTGAGGATTGGGACGTAGATCGACCGGTAAATCGAGAGCCTGGCTTTGTGGCTCAGCTCCCTCTTCACCACGACAGATTGGCTCAGCGTCCGCATCACTGCAGACGCCGAACCAATCCGCCTGTCGATCTCCCGATCCCTCCTACCCTCACTCGTCAACAAGACCCCGAGATACTTAAACTCCTCCACTTGAGGTAGGACCTCTCTCCCGACCCGGAGTTGGCAAGCCACCCTTTCCCGGTCAAGAACCATGGTCTCAGATTTGGAGGTGCTGATCCTCATCCCAGCTGCTTCACACTCGGCTGCGAACCTACCCAGCAAGAGCTGAAGGTCAGAGCTGGATGAAGCTAGGAGGACCACATCATCCGCAAAAAGCAGAGACGAGATTCTCCTGCCACCAAACTCGACACACTCCACACCACGGCTGCGCCTAGAAATTCTGTCCATAAAGGTAATGAACAGAACCGGTGACAAACGGCAGCCCTGGCGGAGTCCAACCCTCACCGGGAACATGTCCGACTTACTACCGACTATGTAGACCAAACTCACGCTCCTCTGGTAAAGGGACTGAATGGCCCTTAACAAAAGGCCACCCACCCCATACTCCTGGAGCGTCCCCCACAGGGTGCCCCTAGGGACATGGTCATAAGCCTTCTCCAAATCCACAAAACACATGTGGATTGGTTGGGCAAACTCCCATGCCCCCTCTATCACCCTTGCAAGGGTATAGAGCTGGTCCACAGTTCCATGGCCAGGACGAAAACCACATTGCTCCTCCTCAATCTGAGATTCAACTATCGATCGGACCCTCCTCTCCAGTACCTTGGAGTAGACCTTTCCAGGGAGGATGAGGAGTGTGATCCCCCTATAGTTGGAACACACCCTCTGGTCACCATTCTTAAAGATGGGGACCACCACCCCGGTCTGCCACTCCACAGGAACTGCCCTTGATGACCACGCAATGTTGCAGAGACGTGTCAACCAAGACAGCCCTACCACATCCATAGCCTTGAGATACCCAGGATGAATCTCATCCACCCCGCTTGGCTATCCTGACCTACCCACAGACCAGCCACGCCCTGTAGGCCTCCTTCTTCAGCCTGACGGCTCCCCGAACATCTGGTGTCCACCAGCGGCTATGGGGTTGCCACCACGACTGGCACCGGCCACCTTGCGACCACAGCTAGCAACAGCTGCCTCACCAATCGCAGAGTGGAACAATGCCCACTCTGAGACGATGTCCCCCACTGCTCTCGGAACGCGGTCAAAGCTGTGCCGGAGGTGGGAGTTGAAGACCGTCTTGACAGGTTCTTCTGTCTATCATCGACCTGCGACCTAGGCTGCCCTGGTACCAAGTGTACCGATGGGCATCCTTATGTT